GTGCCTGCGGGGAGGGGGTAGCTAAGTTTATCATTGTGAAAATGTATGTGTATGAGTACATATTATATGGGAGGAGCGGTTGTGACAACAGCGATACTGAAAATGTCATGAAAATTGAAATTTGTAGCTAATTCCTCGGAAAACGGACAGTGTCGAATGCATGTCTATTGCGTAGAGTGGCATCGTGCAACGTGTCTTCGAGACAATGAAGTTTCGGAAATAGGGGTTATACAGCTCAGTCCCCTTTTTTGAGTGTTTCTCTTTTCAATTCATTTTATTTCAGATGATCTTCGTGTACTTACTTGCTCTAGCTATATGTTCATGCAACTCGTACAAAGTTCTCGTCATCAACCCAAAGATAGGCTACAGCCATATGAATTTCATGGGACGGATAGCTGATACGATAGCTGAAGCTGGTCACGAAGTAGTGAGTACAATAGTTTTTTTTTCTTTCAAAGGGTGAATCCCACCATTAATCCGCTAGGCACATGTGCATGTGTGTGCTTCTGTCTATTTGATCTTTGAAATCATGGCGCCCACCGGTAAGATGTTGGTTCCAAGGGCGATATAGGGGGCAATACGGAAGAAGTGTAGGAGAACAGGAAGAGGGTTCATGATTCGCGTGGCAGTAACAGTGGTACCATTTCTGAAAAAAGACATAGTTGAGAGACAGGAACATCAGTGATGTTCGAGGAAGTCAATAAGGCTGCGTTCATACTTTACGGAAGCGTCCATCAGCAACCAATAGCGTCCACTAGGTCCAAGCGTCCGCAGTGTCAGCGACGAAATTATAGGGTGACCCATTTTGCACCACCGGAATGGTGTATAGAATACAACATTCCCGTGGTGTAAACGGTCACCCAGTCATTTTTGGCGGCGGCACCTCTGACTCAAGGCAGCACCGCCGTCAGTTTTGCGTCATAACCTTTTTCGTAAAGTCATCCATTTAGGGCGCAGTTGATTTAGCCGCCAAGGGTTCGCGAAGCACTACAGCCGCGACACGATCGCGCCGCATCAGCTAGTTTCAGCCCAACTCAATCTTCTCCCTAAATTTACACTGTATTTTTCTTTTTCAAGGCTAACTCCATGTTGTCTGCTATGAAGTATACAAGACCGTGAGATTACTTTTTTTTATTGTGATGGGCTTGCTATTCGCGATAAGCTATCTGTTTGCATTGCTTGTTTAAATCGTTTGATGTTCGCCAAAAGCTAGCGACGAATCTCAGTTTATAATTCATCTTTGAAGACAAGAAAACAGCTAGCGTTGCAAAATGCAGCCAAAAAAGGGAAAGTAGGGAAAAACGACTAAAATAGGCCAGAAATGGCTGATCGCCGCACACAGTTCCTATGTACGCTGTCGCTGCTGCAGCCGCGTCTGCGGCCCCATGACGGCCGCCCTAATCAAGTGCCCGGATGACGAGTGTATATTAGGAGGCAATCAGGGGTTCAGGTACCGATCTAGCGTCTGCCAGCGTCTACCAGCGACTAGCAGCATCCAGTAATGGTCAGTGCGGGGCCATAGGAGGGTAGCAGACGGTTACCTCTCTATCTCCCAATGATCTCTATCAGCAATCTGCTACCTTCCTATCTTCCCATGGTGTACCAAGCTGCCTGCTACCCCCCCCCCCCCCCCTATCGCTCCAAATTCTCCACTCTCGGATGCTGCTAATCGCTGGTAGGCGCTGTAGGCGCTAGATCGATTTCTACACCTCCCTAGCCTCTGACGCTGCCGGACGCTCGGAACACTGGTGGACGCTATTGGTTGCTGGTGGACGCTGCCGTAAAGTATGAACGGTGCCCAGAACCAATAAGACCTGATGGGGGCGTCAGAAGAGGGGGATCATTAAATATAGATTTGAAACTAATTTATATTTATACTTTATAGCAACAGTAGAACGCTGGTTCCAGGTAGTTATATATGATGTGACGAGAATTTCATTGATGGGTGAAGGAGACTGATAGTAGCAGATATAATCTGAAAAGGGCGTTAAAAGGTGAAGATTATCAAATTCATGACCCGCGTCGCAGTAAGAGTGGGCAGTTAGACCCAAAAAATGATGAAGTGGGTGGGCGGTTAATATTACCGGTGCGTGAAAACAAGTGATAGCCATGGATGACAGCTGGAAAACGCTATGAATCATGTAGTAGCCTGTAGATTCTCATTAAATCAACAGTGTATGTCACTGTCTTCAATTCCAGGTCACCCTACAGCCGGTGCTTGATCCGGGCCTCCCTACTAATGGAACTACAAAATCGCGTGTCATCCAACGTGGTCCATTTGGTGCGGCTCGCAGTACAAGGAGGGACGACATGAAGCCCATATGGACAAGCAGTACATCAAATCCTATTGGTCTATTTATGGTGGACTCCAAATCTCGTTTTTTTCTGCATGGCTTCAATTTGAACAGCATCTTTTCAGTTCATTCCAATGATTTCTGAAATCTCGGTGAAGACTCTAACGCGTGAGTTTGATGTTATATGATCTGTCCCCTAAGGAGTAATTCTTGAAATTTTTTCCCTTAATCATTAATCTTTCATCTTTCAGATCTTCTAGATGACAAGCAACTTCTAGAGCAACTGAAAGCCGAAAAATTTGACGTCGCAATTACCGAGCTCTTCGACTTCGTAGGAATAGGTAAGCAAAGCTGAACGCCTTTTCAGAAAATGAAAGTGCGGCACTACTCAACTTATAGGATCTTCTAATCTCAACTTTTCGCTGGAACTTCGACTTTAGGACTTACTAGGTACACTCCTTATCCCTGAGCCAGAGTAGGCGTGGCATTTGAACATGGCACGGAATTGGTTACTCGTGGAATATTCCAGTCTGGGACAACTGTCATCTTGTTCTGTGTTGGACAGAGACACGACAAACGGTGAACATAAACACCTTTAAGTGAAGAAACATGCGGCGCCTACCCGATCTCAAGAATTTCCGATATTATTATTAGGAGCTCAGAAAACGGCAATCTCTCTGGCAACAGCGCCATTTAGTGCCAGTAGGCGCTGCCTCGTTGCTATCATGCTTTTCACCGAAATAAGTGTGAACCTGCGCACTGAACATATTTGATTCTGGCCTCGGCCACACAATTCCCGTGGTGCAAAGTGGTCATCCAGTCATTTCTGGTGGCGGCACCTCTAAT